AAGAGTTATACACGGATTTTGAATTGCATGGGAATCTGGTGTCCCTAACCCCAGGATTCTTGAAAAGAGAAGTGTAATCATTTCCCTACTGGTTGCTGCACATCAAGAAGTTGCAAAGCACTGGAAGGAAGCTGATAACCTATGTGTGAATAATAGGTACAAAAGGCTCTGGGACTTAGCTCTGAATGTTTAACTCAAGAATTCAGGCATGCACAAGACTCGAGATGGGATAACTATATTCATCTCCCCCAGGATATCACCACCACAAGTGGCCCGGCCCATTTGACCCTGCCCCTCAGAACCGGGCCATCCACTTATCACTTGTGGAGCCATAATCGTTTATGTTGCGCCAACCACAGAAGTAGTCTGGTTGGGGCTTCCCCACCTCCCTGCACTGCTGACCATTCTGACAAGGAGGCAGGATGACAAGACTTCTTGCTCAGCTGCTAAGTGGTCAGCAACAGAGAGAGGCAGGGAAGCCCTAGCCAACTACCTCTGCAACTGGAGCAGCATGAACGAGGACAACTGTGTACACCGCACGGCAAGTGGATGGCCTGGTTCTGGAGAGGAGGGTCAAACGGCCCTGGCCACCCGTGGTAGTGATATTCATATTTCATATTCGTATCCCCTGGGAAACAAACACAAATATCTCATCTCTCCACAAGACATTTTGGACTCAAAATTGTTTTGAAGCAATCTGGTTCCCCTTCATTACCTATGTTCAACTACAGAGATAAATATACCAAATCTTCCTAACCCACATAGAACTCTATGAAAGGTTCTGCCGGCTTAACTCCTCTTCAGATGCTCCAGTTCTCATCAGAAACAATGAGATACCAACCCTCACAACTATCAGCTTCATAACTTTAAAGTAAGAATTAGCATTGAAGGATTTCAACTCTGTACATATATTGTCCTTATAAATTAAGTTATAGTTCTCCTTTCCTACCCTCCCGCAAAACTGTTTAATTTTACCCTAAAATTGGATTATGTATCAGTTTGTTAATATTCTAAATAAATCTATTTTTTAAAAAGTGACACTGCCAGAGCATCTATCATAACCGCAATGACACTCAAGCTAACTTGTATTAGTACTGTGAAGAAGACAATGGTAAACCACTTCTGAATATTTTTACTTTGAAAACCGTATAATGAGAACAATCAGAAACGAACCAAAAATGCAATCGGGAAATGAGACTCCCAGATGAACTAAAGTGAAATTGAATAGGGCATTTTCAGCCAGATAATTTTAATGACCTTTTCTTTATTAGAAGCTATTGTAATAAAATATGTCTATTGTAAAGGTACCATGGTAAGAGAGCTAAAATGTAAGAACATTAAGGAGAGTCCTGCAGGATTAGATGAAAGCACCATCTAGTTCTGCATTCTCATTCTACAATGGCCAAATGCTGTGATGAGAAGCTCACAAGCTTGACATGAACACTTCAACGTCCGGCCCAGAGACTGATATTGTTATTGTTCAATGATATACTTCTTCCAGGGTGGAGATTCCATATTTAATCTTCAGATCTAATAGCTAGTGACACATTTATCCTCTATGAATGTGTCTTGTCCTCCAACAGAACATGTGTGCTAAATGTATCTGCAGTTCTCTATCAATAATTAGTTATAGAGAAACAGCCCTGCTGTTTGCAGAGTGATTAGAATTGGTTTATACTCTGGAGCCATCTTCTGGACTGCAAAAACAGTGGCTGCTAAGGTGCAGACAGAAAAATTATCAAGACATTTGGGAGGTACTGGACATTTGATTATATTTTATAAATACTTTTTATTCAGCTATTTTATTTAGCTGCATAGTAGATTTTGATGAGGATCTGGGTCAAATCCCCACTCATTTTCAGGCTAGTCCCCATCTCTCTAGCCTAAAGCAATAGGCACTGCCTCATAGCATTAATCCATGTTTAGTCTGTGTTCTATAAAAATTTCTAGATAGTTGCCACATACACTATTGCTGATCCAGCTGTCCTCCAATCTTGTATTTGTACAACTGATTTTAACTGCCTAGAGTATATGCAGAAAGCTACTTTTTTCTTATTTAAAATCTGTTTACTTTAGCCTGCTTGTAAAATCCAGGTTTATTTAGAGCCCTTTCTTCTGAGTTCTGATCTATTTGCTATCCTTCCCAGTTTGATGTCAGTTGGCTTAATAAGCATTCCCTCTACTCCTTCAGCTTAAACCATTTTAAAAAATACAAAATAGCATCAGGCCCAGGACAGAACTCTGTGACATCCTATTTGTCACTTCTCTTCAAAACAACAGAGAACTATTGGTGAGCATTTTTCAGCTAGGTCATGTTTATCAGCTACAAATTCATCTAATAGCAGTCTAGGCCAATGGTTCCCAATCTGAGGTAAACCAGGTGTTCTAGGACTGTAGTTCCTAGAAGTCTTCACAACCAGCTGTACTGACAGGTGTTTCTGGGATTCGGAGTCCAGGAACACCTGGGTTATACTAGGTTGGGAATCATTGGTCTCTAATCCACATCTTACTAGTTTGACTACAAGAGTATCATGCAGGACAGAAAGCCTTGCTGAAACCAAGATACCTTACTTCCACAAACCGGTTAGTCTGACATAGCCTGTATTTGAGAAATCTATGCTGGATGTCAGTAATCACATTTTCCCTGTGTTCTTATAGACTGTTTAAACAAAAAAAATTGAGCTATTGATTCAACATGACCAATCAGAAGATATCTGGACTCTCTTCTCTCCCGTCACCCTCTGCTTTTCTTCAAGACAGGGCACAGCCAAAACTGCCCACAGCCAAATCCACCATTATGGCAGTTTCTCAACCAGCCCTTTAAGACAAGGGAAACAAGTGTATTCATCCATTAAGTATAGTGATGCCTTGACTTACAAATGTCCTGACAAATGACTATTTCGAGTTACAACCAGATCTGGACGCAAAATTTTGCTTCGACTTGCAGTCGGAGCTTCCAGTTATGAACACAAAAAGGCAGGTAAGAAGGCGGGAAATTCAAATTGCTAACTGTTGGTGGTGAAGAGGCTGCTTCTTTGTAGCTCTTTTGCCCCAGCAGTTAGAGAGTGTGCGATCGGAGGAGGCTTGGGACTGCCTGGCTTCTGCTTCTGAGAGTGTGTGTGCATTTGCAGGGAGGCTCCGGACTGCCTGGTAAGGTAAGGTGCTTTCTGCTTTTTAAAAACTGCCTGTTCTGGGTGGGTTTTACAGGGTGAGTTTGTGCTGGATTAGGGTTATGTTTCTGTGCTGTGTTGTTTTTTGGTGATTTTTTTTTCAGGCCCAGTGCCTTCGGGGCTTGCACCATGGTTTATTTTTGGTTTTTTGTTGTTTTTGCAGCCCCCAGCACCTTTGGGCCTTGCACTGTGGTTTATTTTTTGTGTTGGTGGTTTTTTGTGTGTTTGCTTTGTTTTGGGGGTTTTTATCTATCTATCTATCTAATCTATCTAATCTATCTAGCTAGGTAGCTAGCCCAAGCACGTTCCTATGGGGCTTGCAGTGTTTTATTTTGGGGGGTATTTTTTTTCCTTCTGGAATGGATTAATCACGTTCCAATGCATTTCAATGGGAAATGGTGCTTCGACTGAATGACCATTTCAAGTTACGCCCATCTTCTGGAACGGATTATGGTCATAAGTCGAGGCACCACTGTATGTGTATTAGGCTATGGCAGATTCTTGACCCAATCTTTACGATAAGTGTATTAGGTATACACATTAGAGATGGATACAAACTGCCAGTTCAGCAGTTTTGTGCCAATTCATCCTTTGAATGAACAGTTGTTCGACACTTCCCAGCCCTAGCTCCTCCGGTGGGTACCCACTCAGAGGCAGTGACTGGAGGAGATGGGGCAGGGAATCTGGGGCACTTCTTCTAACTGGGTGCCTGCCAGAGGAGGCAGGGCAGGGAACAACTGAACACCTGTTTTACTGAAGGGTAAAACGGCACCAACCACCTAACTGGCAGTTTGTGCCCATCTCTAATACACATGCTTAATGTTGTTGTTTAGTTGTGTCTGACTCTTCGTGACCCCATGAACCAGAGCACACCTGGCTCCCCTGTCTTCCACTGCCTCCCGGAGTTTGGTCAAATTCATGTTGGTCGCTTCAATGACACTGTCCAACTATCTCGTCCTGTCATCCCCTTCTCCTCTTGCCTTCACATTTTCCCAACATCAGGGTCTTTTCCAGGGAGTCTTCTCTTCTCATGAGATGGCCAAAGTATTGGAGTCTCAGCCTCAGCATCTGTCCTTCCCGTGAGCACTCAGGGTTGATTTCCTTCAGAATGGATAGGCTTGTTCTCCTTGCAGTCCAGGGGACTCTCAAGAGTCTCCTCCAGCACCACAATTCACATGCTTAATACACTTCTATTAAAGATCACTTGTAATACATATGCACTTTTAAAAAGCAGACCAAATAGGGTCACTGTATGTCACTGGAATCACATCTATCTGGCATAGTGGACCTCCTAGTGATCCTATTCAGCCCTTTCCAACTTAGTCTTGTAGACAAGCCCTTAGCCTTCTTGATTATCCTAAAATACTCTGCCTTGGGGATTCACTTCTCCTTCCACTTCTTATACATGTCCCTTTTAATTCTTAGCTTATCTGAAAGTTCCTTTTTCAGCCTCCCATTTCTTTAGATGTCTTCTAGTTTTCTTTATCATATGAACTGTTATGAAATTTCAGCAATGACTTCTTTCCTGTCTGAATTTGCTCTCTGGCTTATCATCATCCTTACTGTAGTGTGTTATACTGCACTATTTTATACTTTTATCAATATACACAGCACAGCGGCTAGAGTATTAGATATGGAGATCCTAGTCCCTACTCAGTCATGAAATGTAATAGGTGACTTTAGCCACTCTCTTTCAGTCTGAACAACATCACAGGACTACAAGGATAAAGTGGAGAAAAGGAGAGCTTCTACAGCCAAAAAAAAAAAGAGGATAAGTAATCAATCAATAAATTGTAATTTTTAGAACCTTTGGCAAAAAAACACAGTATGTTGGTTTGATATTTATTATATTTGAATAAAGCATCCCCTTGTGTACTGATACATTAGTTAACATCAATTTGTTCACTTAAGACATATAAATACAGGTATGCAAAATAAGAATTCTTCCATTAAATAAAGGAAATAAACAGATAACGTATATTTTTAAGAAAAACAATTAATTAGATGTAAATTCTCAAAAACAGTACTTTGGGACAATGATTAGTACAAAAAACAAGTGTTCTAGAATGTTTAATTATCATCTGCCTCAAGATTTATGTTGTTGCCAAACTTCGCATAAAGTTGGACTTTAAGATCTGATAATACTCTCTGGATAGATGCCACTCGTGACTCCAGTGCTTCAATTTCTTCCTGCAAGTTTTGCTGGGAAAGAAAAAAAAACAAATAGTTGATCACTGCAAACAATCAAACTTTTAAGAAGCTCTCTAAGAGCCCATCTGCCAAGAAGAAACAAAGCTTTCATTGGCTCAGCTAAAATAAAGTAGCAATACTGCAAACTTTAAAAATACGTTCTTCATCAGATTTATGGAACCCAGAAGAAGAAAATGTCTTACATGCCTAAATTGTTCTTAATCTGGAAGCATCTACTGCTCTTTATAATAAACCAACAGGGAAGTCTGACCACCCCAGTTAAAGAAACAGCAAAATACTCACATACCTATTCTAAACTGATGCATTTAATATCCACTGCTACTGATAAGCTATGTAAATTTATATCAAAACATTAAAATTTTAAATAGGGCTATGCATGCATTCTCTAATCTGATTTGAAAGAGTTCTTAAAAGATCCTGTTTCAGACTGGAGTGACATGTGCCCCATTGAAATGAATATGTGCCTTGGATTGTAATCAGGCTGTAAGCTTGAGGCTGATTTATAATGGAAAATCAAACAGGTTAGCCTTTTTTGGGATTTTGCACTGAGGTTCATACAGTTTGGAGATATGACAGGTGCAAAAGTACAATGTAAACCTGCCAAATTTCAGGCATGTGTTGTGTACTAGGCACTTTTAAAGTTTCTCTTTTCCAAAGGAAGGCAGACAGTCAAAACAATTTATGCCCCATCTGACAGATTTGTGCTTTGTACACTGTAAGTTAATGTTTTGTTCCAAAATCAAAATCTGGCCATTCTGCTTCAATCCAGACGTCATATAAAAGATAAAGGTTCCCCTTGACATTTAGTACAGTTGTGTCTGACTCTAGGGCGCAGTGCTCATCTCCCCATCCCTAGAGCATTTGTCCATAGACAGTTTCTGTGGTCACGTGGCCAGCGTGACTAGACACAGAACGCTGTTTGTTACCTTCCTACTGTGGTGGTACCTATTTACTGTATCTATTTGCATTTACGTGCTTTCGAACTGCTAGGTTGGCAGGAGCTGGGACAAGTGATGGGAGCTCACTCCGTCGCATGGATTCGATCTTACGACTGCTGGTCTTCTGACCTTGCAGCACAGGGGCTTTTGCAGTTTAGCCCACAGCACCACCATGTCCCTTAGACCTCATATAAATTGGTCCAAATATGGCTAATTTACCTAGTAATTTGGGATTTCTCCAATTGTGGTACCCAGCCCTACTTTCAAAATAAATTTGAAAAATAGCGTATTTTAAAAAACAATTGTTTCTCAGGGGATAGAGGAATCCTGTTTGCAATATTTAATTTATGGAAAGATAAAATTATGACACTGATCAAATCTAAACATGTGACCTTTGAGGTCAACCCAAGTTTTTTTTCTTGGGTGCTGCTGCTGGAGGTCCAAAATTCTTGTTTCACAATTAGCTATTATATCTGAACCTGAATTGGGTTAGGGTGAAGCAAAGAAAACATACCTGTCAGCATCTGCATCTGCAGCCATAAAGGACCTTGCAAATGTCTGTGATTTAAATATACATATATGCGCACACACTTCAAGCTTCCCTTTCCGCTGTTTCTCCAGGTTTCCACACTGCCATCCCCAGTCCCCTTAACAGGCGTTGGAGGTCTCTATGGAAGGAAGGGACCTCCATCGCCTGTTAACGAGGACTGGGGATGGCAATGTGAAAGCATGGAGAAACAGCGGAAAGGGAAACTTGAAATGAAGCAGGATTTTTTATTTTTGTCTTTTGCCCTTACCCCGGAACTAATTTCTTTCCTCTTTCCATCACACCTTCTTGCTCTCCCTGAGAGAAAAGTCACTAACCTTTGCCTCTTCCAACATCTCTTGTGTCTCTTCTTGAGGGTGGCTAATGAAGACATCTCCAATTTGGTAAGGTATCAATAGCGAGTCATCGTCAAGCATCATTATGTCATCACATGCATCTTGTAAGTTCTGAAGCTGTTTCTGTGATCAAGAAATCAGTCACTCCCACCTGATTTTAACTATTATAAGTACACTGTTCTTAAATTTTTAGTATATTTTTATAATTAAGCTTTTTATTATATTAAGCTAAAAAACACCTTTAAAAACAATTTAAAAGACACAGAAGACCAAAATATAATAGTAATAATTTCTTTCTATAAAATTATTCCAAATGTATAATCTATATGATTATACATCATGTGTTCATTTGTTTACAAGAGTTCTAAGATCCTTGATTCTCTGAATAACAGGAAGTGGACAATGATTTTTCTACCATTGTAATGCAAGGCTTTTAGCCACTAAGAAGTGAAATTTAGAAGTTAAAAAAATCAACAAAAATCAGAGAATGTTCCAGTACAAAATTAATACAAGCAATGACGCACACACAGATGGCAAAAGAACCTATGACAAGACATGACTCAGGTCCATGTTTAAGAAACGCATTGAGGAATGCACACTGCTAGCTATTAGATTATTTATTCAGACCCTTACTAAAGATGTATTGAGTTATCTAGTATGTCAGAAAGAGGATTTATTCCTAGATGAGTCATAGCATAACATCCATAGGTATGGCAGGTATAAAAGCTAAGGCCACATTCAGCTGGTTAGGCAAAATAGGGTAATTCAATTCCTTATTCTGTTCCTTCCTGAAATATTGCATATTGTATTTCAGAACCAATAAAAATATCTGTAAAGAAATGTTGTGAGCTTCTTTTCCTATATTGATTCACCAAGAGCAAATATAGACTCTTGAGGCATTTTGTGCTACAGAACATTTAGATGGCAGCAAATTTTATAACTGTAAACACTGTCATTCAGCCAAGGTTGACAAATCATTCCCACCCCTAAGAAATGATAGAAATTCACCATCAGAATCAACCAGTTGGTCTAAAGGAAAAATTGTCCTTTCAGTCCAAGACTTCCACAGAAAAAGCTTCTTCCTAACATCTAGGTCTGCAGTGGCTCATGTTGAATGAGCATGTGAAAAGTATCAAACTGAAATGGTTGTGGCCACAGCTCTCTGATTGCAGGAACAATTCAGAGAACAAAATCTATTGGAATACATGTAAAACCCTAACACTATCCATTTAAAAAGGAACATCAGATAGGTAGTTTCCAAATAGACCCAAGTTAGATTGATTGATTGATTGATTGATTGATTGATTGATTGATTGATTGATTTATACCCCGCCCATCTGATCTAAAAGACCACTCTAGGCGGCTGATAATTCAGCTGAGAAGAACAATCTCAGTAAAAGCACAAGTAAGCAAACAGACCTGATGAGAAAAACTAGGATGGCATGAAATCAGACATGAACTTCCAAAATGGAATATTAAATTTATGGAAATATCAACAATAGGGATTGAACAAAGAGCATATACAATATGAGGTACAACATTCATTTTGACTGTATTTACTTTATCCCAAAGTGACAAATTTAAAGGTGCCAATTTGTCAAAAACCAACTTTATCTTGCACCCCTACTGTGACCACGCTGGTTCATGCAATGATGGTCATCTCAACATTAGAGTACTGCAATGCCTTCTACGTGGGCTGACTTTGGGACTGCTATGGAGATTGCAATGGGTCCAGAACGCAGTGGCCAGATTGCTGAGTGGGGTTAGAAAATACCAACACATCTCACTCACCCTGGCTGCCTTACACTGGCTTCCTGTTCACCTCTGTACCAGTTTCAAGGTAATGGTACTAACCTATAAGGCCTTAACCGGTTTGGGACCTCGATATCTGGCCGAGCACCTCCTTCCAGTTAGATCTGTCTGCCCTATAAGATCATCTCAGGCAGGGTGGTTGAGAATTCTGACCCCGAGAGAGGCCTGGAAAACAACTACTAGAAACTGGGACTTTTTGGTGGTAGTTCCACAACTATGGAGCTCTCTTCTGTCTGACTGGCCCCTGCACTGGGCACATTTAGGAAGCTGTTAAAAAACTGGCTATTTAAGCAGGCCTTCTCTGAACAACAGTGTTTGCTAAAATATCACCCCTCACACCGCCATACTTGTCTTTTATATTTTATGCTTTTAATTGTAATTTATTGTATTGTATTGTTTCACTGCACTTTATGATATTTGATTTATGCCCCAATTGTATTATTATTATTTTGTATATGTATTATTTTGTTACTCTGTTGTTTGTCTGTCTGCTGTAGACCATCCAGAGTGGCACTGGCTCCAGATGGGTGGAATATAAATCAATCAATCAATCAATCAAACAAACAAATAAATTAACATTTAGAATGATTATTTGCACAATATCCCTGGGAATAACTAACAATACATGTCTTAAAATAATGAGGGTACAAGAGGCACACACTCAGAGTCTGCCAAGTATGTATGTGAAAAGTACGCATTAAGATTCTGCACAAAAATTAATTCTGGAAACTGTCATACCAGGGCTGCCAGTGGTGATTTTTGGACATTAAAGGCTCCTCCTTTCCACTATTCAGAGGTTCCCAAAAGCTTCTCTAAGTCAAAAGGGATCCCCAAAAAACCTTGGAATCTGGTGGGTGAGGAAGGAGGGATGGGCAGCCTTAATTTAAAGATTAAAGATCTCTGGCTTTTGCAGGTAATGTGTGCATACAAGCCTGAGCAGAGATATACTTAATTTTACCTGCTTTGAGCATGTAAAAACTTTGCAGGCACCTCATTCCTAGGAAATCTGTAGGGGAAAACCTGTATTTCCAGTAGTCTTGACATAGGAACACTGTGAGAATAAAGGTGGTAAAAAGAAAACAGGTAATGGGATACACCCCTCCAGGATATTCAAAGGGTCCAAGAAAACCCAAGTTTCTATTTCCTTTCTATAAAGCAACTTTGAAAGTTGATTTTGAGTGGGCCAGAAGCAGAGAGGTATAAACACACACTGTCCTTTCATGATCTATTACAACATGCACAGTGATTAAAGTAATTTGCATGTACCTCAAAAAGCTTGGATGTGGAGAATTAGAACCTATAAGAGAAATCTGTGGTGTCTGGTAGGGGCGGGGAGGAGAATTAGACAGCTAGGAGACTGAGCAAGCCTCAAGAGAGGAGGAAAAACACAAGAAGGAAAAAAACAAGTGGTATGGGATAGAAAACTACACATGGCTGAGAGGGACAAAGCTGTTTCTAAGCAAGGCAAAATGGGTACAAGCTGACTGAGAACCAGGGTGAAGAGAAAAGGGGCAGTGCAAAATATATAATTTGATGTATGGGAGAGAAAAGAGAGAGCTAAAGCAGCTAGTACTATCACTAGTAGTAAGGCTTATATTTCAGTTAGTGTACAGTGGTGCCCCGCATAGCGAGGTTAATCCGTTCCGGATTAACCTTCGCTATGCGAAAACATCGCTGTACGGGGCAAGGAAAGCCTATTGGAACGCATTAAACTTAGTTTAATGCGTTCCAATAGGCGTCCAAACACCCCTCCAGCGATGTTTTCGCGGTCCGGCGGCCATTTTGGAGCCGATCAACTCTTTGGGTCGTCCGCAGCCATTTTAATGGCCGTGGATGACCCGAAATGCCCCCCAGCAGCGTTTTCGCGACCTCGGTAAGCAAGGGGAGGGCGCGAAAACACTGATAGGGGGCCATTTCGGGTCATCCGCCGGCCATTTGGGAGCTGCCGATCAGCTGTTCGGCGGCTCCAAAATGGCCGCCGGACGCCCCAATCGTTGCAAAGCAAGTGCGGCGATTGGGGCAGCTCCGTATAGCGATCCCCAAAAAGGGATCGCTATACGGATTCTTCGTTATACGGTGCGCTCATTAAGCGAGGCACCACTGTACTTAGAACTGCAGTAAATCAGCTCTCTCCCAGAAGCTTTATAATCAGGTTACCTTTTTATCCTCAATTTCTTCCTTTAATTCTGTGATTCTACTGGTGTTTCTTGCAAACTTGTTGATTTTCTGTTGATCTTCAAAAGTAACATTGACATCTTCTGCTGCCTGCACACAATAAACAGAAATGGAGTTTAACACGCAGAGCAAATGGGACAGTAATCTGTTTTGTTTTGTTTTGTTGTTGTTGTTTGTTTTAGTGAAGACAGAGACCACTCTGCTCACCATTCAGGTTAGGCATAAGTCAGCTTATGCACATTTCATAAATATATATTTTTCACCCAAAAGATTCAGAATCAGCTAGATATCCTGAGCTCAAAAAGCAAAAGTTAAGGAAGAAAAGTCAAAAACAACATTGGCAAGGAGCATGGGATAGTTTCAGGGAAAAAAATCTTAGGATATTTGAATATCCAACAGTAAACAGTGGAAATGCCTGAGATCACAAAGAAGTGGAATATTTTTGTCCTTAGTTAAAGGTAAAGGTTCCCCTTGACATTTTTATTTCAGTCATGTCTGACTCAGGGCATGGTGCTCATCCCCGTCTCCAAGCCGTAGAGCCAGCATTTGTCCATAAACAGTTTCTGTGGTCACGTGGCCTGCACAACTAGACACGGAACACTGTTACCTTCCCACCGTGGTGGTACCTATTATCTACTCGCATTTACATGCTTTCGAACTGCTAGGTTGGCAAGAGCTGGGAGAAGTGACGGAAGCTCATTCCGTCACATGGATTCGATCTTATGACAGCTGGTCTTCTGACCTTGCCACACAGAGGCTTCTGCGGTTTTTAGGACTATTCAAGTAAGAGGCAGCGCTCCTTATAGTATGCCCTGTAAAACACGACAACATAGAGCTGATCACTGGCAATGGGGAAAAAAATTAAGATCAGGGGATCAATACCTACCTATTACAAGTATTGATTCAAAGCTATGCATATAGTTATGTCCACAGCAACACGAGTTAGGGCAGGCTGAGAAACAATAATCAGCACAAGATCACAAAATATGTTTTATGGCACACGCAGCTTTTCATCTGGGGTTTGTTAGTCTTACTCCTGGTCCAATACTACAACTTCACCCTTTCCTGGGAAGGTAGCTCAACATATGGAGGTCAGCAAATACAGCTGTGCCCACCACACTAGGTAGTTATAGGGAGCTGTACAGTGGAAGAAAAACTGGCTTTGTAGATTTGCAATCCATTTGATTCGCAAATACACATCCTGAATGAAATCAAGATGCACCCACCCACTCCCTCTACATGTTCACTAACCTGAACAGACAGGAAGAAAGCTGATGGGGTCTATAATGAAACTTTGTGTTTAAGCATCCCTCCTTCAGTTCCATCCAAGGCAGCACGAAGACTTGCAGAACAGGTATGGGCCACTCTGTCCCTTATCCTATGGAAAAATGGGGACGGAGCGATCCATACCTTCCCCATGAGCCTGTTTAATGGAAGGCTCTCTCTTTCTCAATCTCTCTCTTTCCTTTTCAAGAAAAAGAACCCTGCTAAAGGTCTAGTGGTCTCGGTTTCCATCTTGCATGCAGAAAAGGCTGGGGCTTCCTCCTGTTCTATGGAAATTCAGACCTACAGCTTCTTAGCAGGCTCAGTGCTCAGCTAATGTATCTTTATCCTTATGACTGTGCCTACCAGTACGTACTATGTTTCCAATCACAGGCAGTCTTTCAACCCTTCACATTTTCAGATCCTACCTAGAAATGTAAAATTTCTGAAAATTTTCATTTTTTTCTGGGGGGAAATATCCTCCCCCCAAAAATTGGAAATGTATGGAAACTGTGTATCTCTCTAGACAGAACTTAAATGCATAAAGCCTCAGAAATCTTTCATTAAGGTCTTTGTGTTATATAATTGGAATACCATGTCATAGACATATTATTTATTGTAAAATAACATAATGCACATTCCATTTTTTTCACTTTTTTAAAAAAAACAGCATTGGGAAAAAATGTTTGGGGGGGACTGTTTTGTTGCCAAATTTTCTGATTTTTTTTCCCCGCCAGGCCTTCTCACATGAGCCATGAAACTCACTGGGTGACCTCAGGGCGATCCCTTGCTCAGATTCAGGCACTCATTTCTTAGGCTTCTTTTAAATACAAGGGGGGGGGAGAGATGGAAGAGCTACATACACACCACCTTGAGCTCGTTAGATAAAAATAATAATTCAACAATAGTAAAACTCCATCATCTCCCCGTTTCACAATTTTGGTCCAGCGAGTTTGTTAACTCAGTGGTTGCGGAGCCTGAGGTTGGGAGTTCGATTCCCCAATGGGCCTCCTTGACAGGGGCTGGAATCGATGATCCTCAGGATCCCTTCCAGCTCTGCAGTTCTAGGATGATGATGATGACGATGATGATGATGATTACACCGCCTGCCGCCTCCACGGAAGATGGAGGTCTCTCTCTATCTAGCGGGAAACGCCTCTTTGCAGCCCTCTCCACCGGCCCCTACGAAGCGTCCCCAGGTGGGCGGCCATTCCGGCGTCGCCCCTCCAAGCCAAGCCACGAACCGCCTTGGACTCTGCTTGGCTTCGGGGAGGCGACCTGCCTCGCGCGCTTTCCTGCCCAAACAAAGCATCCGGGGGCTTCCAAGAGGGAAGGACGAAAGAAAAAAAAACCAAGCCCCCCCTCCCTGCCAAGACCATCGCCCCGTTTCATTCCTCCCTCAGGGCCGGTTAATTAGGGAACAGAAAAAAAATGGAATAAAAGAAGCAACACACCCCACAGAACGTCCCTTCATTCCTTCCCTCAGCCCACTCACCGCTTTCTTCATGGTGGCCGCCATTTTCGGGACTGAACTACTTCCTCCTCCTTGGAGGGAGGTTTCCTCGCCGTCTTAGCCTGTCCTTTTTCCTTTAAAAAAAACAAACGAAGCGTTCCACCTTCCCTTCGTTTTCATTGTTATAGACAATGAGGAAATGGGTCCCCAGTTTTGTTCTGAAGAAAGAAATGTCGCGGAGTCGTCTCCCCCCCCGACTGTTGGTACGGCCCAGGTTAAAGGCGCAAGAGAAGAGGAAAAGGAAAGGCTGTCGGCCGTCAGAAAAGTGGCGTGGAGTTCCAATGCGCGCGAAGAACCGCTAGGGGGCGGAGCGGGACTTCTAATAAAGTCAATGTGAGCCATTAGAGACTGCAACAAAGGAGATGCTGAATGCTGACAGCGTTGGAGAACAAGAACTAGTACTTAAGAGAAGTTTTTTTTTTTTCTGAGCCACGTCGCCCAGGCATACCAGCTTGTTTGCTTCTTCCAACTGCTCATACAGGAGTTGGTCCGGTCCCTTTATCATTTTGGTTACCTTTTTTTAATTAATGCATATGCAATGTGCCGTAGTGGATGGAGTGACTGAATAGGATTCAGAAGACCTGGTTTCAATCCCCACTGAGGGAGCGGAACTGGGAAAAACCACTCCCTCAATATCTCACCTTGAAAGCCATAGGAGGATTGCTACATGTTCGTTACAACTTGACAGTGCATGACTAATTAACAATGGAATTGTTTTGGTTTTCTAAGGTGTTTTGGTTTTGTAATATAAACTATCTTCGGAGAGTATATTTCCAAATGTACTTTCACTTTTAATAGGCATCTAATATTTCACTTCTAGGTAGGCATCTAAAATGCATCCAGTGGACATGCTGAATGGCCACCTCAGGAGGAGGTTGAAGAAGAGGCATCATGAGACATTTGTGCAGCTGACCTGAGACATTTGGGCCTCCACCAAAAAAAAAGAGAGAGAGAGAAACAGAATGAGCCCCCCAAAAAAGAATGGAAAAGTTTCTGCCCTCTGATTTTTAAAAAGGTAGGAAGAATGAATAGGACTGGGGAGTGTTGCCATTTATTTTCCTGCTACTTACCAGTAGACTCACCCCTGTACCTTGTTGCCCTCCAGACTTTGGCACACTGGGGCAAAGCTTAGTAATAATCCTGAATGGAAAAAAAACAGGGTGAGGAGAATGCACAAGAGTATTATGGAAGGCGCATGACTGATTGGAAGCCTAAGCATGAATGCTTCAGACCACAATATTTTGTGGCAGGCCTACCTTTGTAGGAGTATTGCTGCAATCCACATGCATTTTCCAATATTTATACAGTATATTGTTCATTTTTTTAAAAAATAGCATATGAAAATTAGTAAGATCACAGCCTGTTGTAGTACAAACAGGAAAACTCCCAAGGCACCAACCAGTCTGAACAGACACAGTTGTATCATACCAATTTGACTGACTTAAGAATGAATCTTATGTGTGGAAGCTGGGAAATAACATGCTGACCACCAGACCACAAACTCCAGCATCTACAACCAAGCCCTAAAATACAACCACATTTGTTGAGATTGATCAGAGGAGGATTTGCAGCTTAAGAATTCACATCAGGCATTTTTCAAATTACTGCATAAGAGGGGGAAAAGCAAAGCCACAAGGCGGGCCAAAGAGATATCCAGGAAAGACTTCAAAAAGAAATAGCAGACCACTTTCTTTTTTGTTAAATACAACTCCCATCAGAAATCTTACACACCCATCGCTAATGAGATACAGTCCGTTCTCAACACAAGAGCATTCCCCTTTCACTGGCCTTGGATGCCCCTGCTTGGATCACAAATGGCTGACGGACAATACCCACAGATGGGTTGTGTCTGAACAGGGATGCCTCACCGACAGATTCCAGGAGAGGCACTTCCTCTCCAGTTGCAAGCAGTTTATGGAAGCACCCTCAGGATCGAGGGTTTATTCTTATGCTTATCATTCAATGTGGTATGGTCCATTTTCTAAAGCAGGGGCAGGAATTAAGGACTACAATTAGCCCCTCAAGGACCCAAATGCAGATCCCAGGAACATTATTATTTTGAATTGTTTTTCTCACAACAACAACTCCCCCCCCCCGTGTCCTAAGGGGCACAGGGCAGTTTTGCCATGGTTTGAGGGGCCTCCCATGGCCCCAAATTTTTTCACTTTTTAAAACAATTTGAAAACAATCAATATACAATGGTAGTTAACATCATTATTTAGAACTACAAACAATGAGTAAGGAGGCGGTACGGAGTTTACTGAATTTATTACGAACTCCTCGGTCCAGTTAAACTAAGGAGGCTCCATTTAATTTAGTTATATAGTTACAGATTGTGTACATGTGATATTATTGCTATATTATGTTACTTTTCATTGTATTTTTGTGTTATAGATTTGGATATACCTGCTGGTCAGTAACTGTAATAAAGCTCCTTCATTCATGAATACTTTTCATTGTATTTTTGTGTTATAGATAGATTTGGATATACCTGCTGGTCAGTGACTGTAATAAAGCTCCTTCATTCATGAGTAAGGACATCATTACCAGGCAATATTAAGCAAAGATGAATAAGTATACAAACTTTTTAAATTGTCTTTTTCAGAGAATCCTGCCTTCTCATGATATGCCCAAAGTAGGACAGATTCAGTTTCAACCTTTTTCCCCTCCAGAGATCGTTCTGGCTTGATTTGATCTTAAACCTACTTGTTTGTCTTTCTGGCAGTCCAAGCTATCTGCAAAAATCTCCAGCACCACATTTCCAATGAATCAATTTTTTTTCTGTTAGCTTTCTTAACTGACTACTTTCACACCCATACATGGCTCCATGGATCCATTTCAGTCAGGCTTCAGGCCGCGCCATGGTACAGAAACGGCATTGGTCACCCTGTGTGATGACCTATTGAGGGAGGCTTACAGGGGCAAAGTGTCCCTGCTGGTCCTCCTCGACATCTCAGCAGCCTTTGATACCATTGACCACGGTATCCTCCTGGGGAGGCTCTCCGAGTTGGGCATTGGAGGCCTCGCATTGGCCTGGCTCCGTTCCTTCTTGGAGGACCGTCCCCAGAGAGACCAGCTTGGGGAGAGTGTCTCGTCCCTGTGGAGTCTCAAAAGTGGGTTCCACAGGGGTCGATTATCTCCCCAATGCTGTTCAACATCTACATGAGGCCGCTGGGTGGGGTCATCAGGGGGTGTGGAGCCTTGTGTCATCAGTATGCTGATGACACTCAGCTCTACATCTCCTTTTCACCAACTGCAGGAGATGCCGTTCTGTCCCTTCAGCGCTGCCTGGGGACTGTACTGCAATGGATGCAGGAGAATGGGCTGAGGCTGAACCCGGACAAGACGGAGGTGCTGAGGGTGGGTGCCCCCACAGTTTGGGATTTGGGAAACTCCCTCTCTTTTGGGGGGGGTGACTCTGCCCACCAAGGATGGGGTCCGCAGCTTGGAGATCCATCTGGACCCGGCGCTTACTATGGAATCCCAGGTGGCGTCGGTGGTCCGCTCTGCCTTTTTTCACCTCAGGCAGATAGCCCAGCTGCGGTCCTACCTTGATGTCGGGGCGCTCACTACCTTGGTACATGCGCTCGTAATCTAAAGATTAGACCACTGTAATGCACTCTACGTGGGGTTACGTTTGAGGTTGCTGCGAAAACTACAGGTGGTGCAGAATGCGGCGGCCAGATTACTTAGTGGAGTGAAAAAATACCAACATATCTCACCCACCCTAGCCGCATTGCATTGGCTCCCCATCCGATTCCGCATCAACCTACCTTGGTACATGCGCTCGTAATCTAAAGATTAGACCACTGTAATGCACTCTACGTGGGGTTACGTTTGAGGTTGCTGCGAAAACTACAGGTGGTGCAGAATGCGGCGGCCAGATTACTTAGTGGAGTGAAAAAATACCAACATATCTCACCCACCCTAGCCGCATTGCATTGGCTCCCCATCCGATTCTGCATCAACCTCAAAGTGTTGACGCTTAGGTACAAAGCCCTAAACGGTTTAGGGCCTCGATACCTGGCGGAACGCCTACTCCCACCGAGATCTATCCGTGTCACTCGTGCAAGCCAGGAGGTGAGGCTGAGGGGCCTAATGCCGAGGAAGGCCCGGAAGGAAAAGACAAGAAATCGGGCCTTCTCGGTGGTGGCTCCTCGCCTCTGGAACAACCTACCTCCTGAGATTCGCATGGCTCCCTCGCTGGGTATTTTTAAGAATCAATTAAAAACTTGGATGTTTCAGCAGGCCTTCCCATCAGATAATTCCTGATGCCCTTCTCTTCCTGTTCTTATCATTTTTTCTATCGTGTTTAATGTTCTATTTATGTAAAAATTGTTTTTATTTCTATTTATTGTATTATTTCATGTTGTTAGCCGCCTAGAGTGGTCCTGACCCGACCAGATAGGTGGGATATAAATTAAATACATAAATAAATAAAAGCCTCTTGCCCTGAGCCTGTATATTGGCTCCAGCCACCCCTCTCCAAGTTGGCTCAGCAAAGAACCCATACAAGTGTCACAGCATCTGATCCAGGTATATTTGCCCATGCCGCCATCCTCTCCCTGCATGTCCAGTCTCACGTGGCCCAAGCTTAACCAACTGATCACTGAAACCCTGGGCAGCAAAAATGCTTGCTACCGCTCTGGCTCAGAAAGCAAAATTTTAAAAGTTACAGCTAGCCTCCAGACCTGGAATTGAACCAAAATTCCATGATGAAGGCTGCAGACTTAAAGAATCCGCTGAAAGCATCAAGCATCCCATCAGGAGAGGCACTTAAGACAATTAACATCCAAGGGTCACAGAAAAAGATTGGGGGCCAAGGGTGTAAAATGGAAATGTCATGCTTTTTATTACTTTAATATGCTTACAAGCTGCAAGGTTAGCGGGTGCAGTTTGCACTGCATGAGCTTGATATAAAACCAGACCTTGGCACCGTCCCCCTACAGAAAGGACTTCACTGACCAAAATTAATTCCATCTGTAAAAGAGAGTGAGAACATTTTAGTGGTAATTCTGTCCACATGTTAGCCCATAGTTTTAATTATGTCCATGTGTTCCTCCACTAGGAAACTTTGTGCTCTTCTGGCAGAAAGAGGACAGTGGGGCAGGTTTTTCCAACAGTTTGTCATGCCAGCAGTGTAATCCTATGCTGTCTAATCAGAAGCAAGCCCCACTGAGTTCAAAAAGCAAAAGCGTGCTGCTTATATACTGCTCCAT